TTCCAATTTTGATGGTAGAAAGTAGAAATTAATTACGGCATTCACTATTAAAAACATAAGTGTAACACCCCTTTACTGCACATGTAACCCCCTTTATGACAGTGTCAAAATACTTTGGGCTGCATGTATAATTGCACCACACAATTATAACAATTTGAACAAAGAGAATCACCAATGTTTACAAAAAATTCTCCCTTGTTAGCTTTTTTCTTAGCCTCTTCAGTAACATTTCTAAATGTTGAGAATTTTCTTCTTTACAGTAATTGCAGAATTGATTTTTAGGCAGCATTTAATAGATTGCAATTTTGAAAAGTGTGATCTTCTCTGTGATCTTTTGACAGTTCATATAAAACAACTAGGAGAATAATATATTGAATTTTTGAATGGTTGTTAATTAGTACACTTGTATCCACTTTAATTGATGGGACTGGTTGATTATTTTAAACAATATAAATAATCTGTGTAACATTTTATGCGATATTTGAATGTCCACCATGCTATCTGTTATTGTTGTTTAAAAATCCTTCTTGTTTTTTAAATGCATCATAAAAAATCAAGATACAACCTATTATATGATCTTTGTACTATTGGAAAAAGTTGAATATAAGTTATAAGTTAATCAATAATAAATACTTATTTCTTTAAAGTATAATAATAATGAGAATATAGAATAAGTCTTTGCCTGCAAGTATAATAATAACTTATTAATAAGTAAAATGTTATCATTCATATTTAAAAAAAAATTTTTTTAAATAATAATAATAAATAATAATAATAATGACACAATTTTGATGGACAAGATCACAGAAGCCTTAAACTTTTACTTCTAAGGTAACTTATTGAAATCAAATTGATCAAATTGATCAAGTTTTACCAAAATATAAAGAAAAGTCAAAGCGATATATTAATATAAAAAAAATAGTTTTTCCATAAAATGGGTTTTGTGCAACTTTTTTCTATTCTAAATTCAATTGAAATAGCAAGTTTCACAATATAAAAAAGATCAATGATTGATTTTGTCACAAGTGATAAAACGAATGCCCACTATGCTAATGAAGGAATGGCAGTATTAGAATCAAAAGATTTGACTTCTTTATCAGGAAATAAACCACAAACTGTATTGGTTGCCTATAGATTAAAGGATTCTAATGGTCACTCTATTTATTCTGGAAAAAGACTGCAATTTTACCTGATGTGGATGAAAATTCTATTGAAATTCAAAATGCTACATCATTCCTAGATT